CCCCAAAACCCCAAAACCCCAAAACCCCAAAACCCCAAAACCCCAAAACCCCTTCTTGCTTTTTTACAATAATAATAGATTATTTTTATCATGGAGAAAGATCATAATTCAAGAAAAAGTAGGAGGAATAAGAGTGAATTAACCTCAACACGTAAGCCAAGAGATTACAGATCAACCTCGCCAATGGCAGTGCCACAAGAAGAAAAGAGAACTTTTGTCAATTTGAAAGAGGTAGTGCTTAGTTTTAAAGCATTTCTGTCAAATATTACTCTTCATTCTGATATTTAGAGCAATCCCAGTTTTAAAATTCCTGATGGAATGCAAAGAGAATACAAGACGACTAAGCCCAAGAGATCGAGAAGAACTGAAGGAATCCGGATCCCAAAAATTAAAGAATTCGATAGTAGATTGTTTGAATTAATTATGTAGTCCAAAAGATGTATCTCTCAGAATTAGATATTTGTGTTAGACAGAATAAATCTACATTCTGACTAAATGATCCTCTATTCCCTGGTTCAAAGTATGTATTTATTATCTCCAACTTTAAGGTTAGAGACTCATTACCTAGGAATTTTATCAAAAAGAACAGGGAAAGTTGCCAAGGGTGTGATGAAGAGAATACTAAGAAAAAGAAACTAGGCCATTGGTACTTTTCAGTCATGAGAATCTATAGCAAACTTTGAGGAGAGACTTACTGAAAGTCATGTCTCTACTTTAGACAAACAGTGGAAAGTCAAATCATGGGAGATGGGAAAACAACCAAATAGAGTTAGAATCTGAAATATTTGCAGAGGGAAAATCACGGTTAAAAAGACACTTTTGCAAGCAATCTCTGATTATCGCAAAGAAGGAGAAGATCTAAGTAACACATTTGAAATAATTCATAGTCCAGCCCCAAGAAGAACTGGCTGAGATTGATAAGGAATTGAAGAACCTAACTTTCAAATGAGAAATTTTAGATCAATTTGATCTTGAAAACGAGCATAGGAGAAGAATCAACCACTATAAAATTCAAGAGCAAGAATTATTAGCAGAGATTGAATACCAAATGTGTGTTCGAGATGATTTGACCATGAAAATGAGATATTGCATGAAAGAGAGAAAGCAAATGGAAAATGACATTAAATCCAAGGACCTGGATGTCAACTTCCCTAAAGTAATATCAAGATGTAATTATAGATCACATTCATGCCAAAAAGTTCTTCAATTAGGAAACATTCTGTTGATAAAAGTATTTCTTTACATGAAACGAGTAAGGAAGAGAACGCTATTGAAGGGTCTATTACTAACTCAAGACCAGTTTCTAGATCTATAAGTGGCTCTTTGGTACAGAAAATGAATTTAGACATAAATAATACTTGTCCTGAAGAAAGTAAATATAATCCCAACGAATTTGTTGAGGAAAAGTCTCATCTAGAAGATGTAAGCCAACTCATTCTTATCATCTAGTGGATTGTTGTGACTCCTCCCGAAGGAGAACAAAAAGAGACTTACAAGAAGCCTCTCAAGAAATCTTCATCATTTGGATCATTAGAGGGTAAGAGCATAGATAATTTTTAGAATCTACTAAAAAGAAGCCATCTATTCATAAAAGAGGCAAAAGCCATATTAAAATGGACAAAAATGATGAGTGATGTATAATATTTTAAGCTGCCTTTGTAAAGCAATAGAAGAGCATGAAGGGTTAATGAATGCAGAGATAAACTTTTGTCTTTCTGATAAAAGAACGCTCTGCAATTCAGTCCAAGTTGTTAAAAATATCTTTAAAATAGGAATAACAACTGGAATTTAAGAATCAATTTTTTATCTCTAGATAGGGGTTTTGGGGTTTTGGGGTTTTGGGGTTTTGGGG